TTTTTTTTTTTAAATTGAAAATTAGACTGAGAGACTGGAAAGCATCAGTCATTTCTTTCAAAAGGCTGGTTTTATTTCTATGCTCATCTGGTTTAGGAAGCAGCTGGTCGGTGCAGCAGCTCTTAAAACAGAGAGGAAACAAGAAAGTGATAGCAGCCTAAGTAGAAAGGAAATGTTTTCTTATTATTTATTGTTAAATGCATATCCCACCTTTATTTTTTGCAGCTCAAGGAGCAAGTAATGCTTGCAGCAGGAGCAAGTAACGCTCCTGCTTTCAATTTCCCTACAACCACCACCTGTGAAATGAGTTGGAGTGAGAGAGAAGGACTGGCCCAAAGTCACCCAGCCAGTCTTTATATCTCAGGGAGGTCTAGAGTTCTCAATCTCTTCATTCCAGCACCTTGACTACTGCACTAAATTGGCTCTCTGACATATTGCTTATGTCCAAGGATCCAAAACTGCCTGAAGAGTGCTCCCACTTTTCAGGCTTAGAAGGCATCAGTAGACAATCATGGCAGCAAATGAAACTTATCTACCCAGCTAGTTGGGGGATGAAGTTTTTGATTAGCTAAGAAGAATTCCTCAACATGGTGACATGGCTCTTCCATGGTACATGTGCTGTTCCATCTTAGTCCTCATCAGCTTTAGAATCTACCATCTGATGCAGCATGTAAAAAAAAAACCTGCTTATTCAACTCACACCATTAAAAAAAAAATCGTCTAAATTTGCCATTTGCAATCTCTTGCTGGCTTCCCCATTAATTTTGCTTATTGGAAGCTGGCAGTGAAAGTTGCAAATGGTGATTATGAGACTGTGGGACCCTGAGACATCATAATGATCAAGTTGCCAAGCTCTCAAAGCACAATCACAAGACCACAGTGGTGCTGTGATGGCTGCAAATACAATGCTTGGTTGTAAATTCCCCTTGTTCTGTGCCATCCTAACTTCAAATTGCCGCTGAACAAGTGGACGTTATGTGAGAACTACATGTACCTACTTGCTAGAGCTGCACATATATCATTTAATGTGTTTCTCTAGTATGATGGTTTTAATTCTTGTAATTTTGCATGATTTGATTTGCTGAATTTTACCTTGCCTTCAGATTATTTTTAGTGAAAAGCAGACAAACAGTTGAGGGGACAACCCACTATTAAAAGAAAAGCTGGCTCTTACTTACAGGTTCTCAAAGAAATCCTACGGTTATACCCACCAGTTGCAGGTGTTATGCGCTGGACAGAGAAGAAAAATGTAATTGAAGGAATTGACATTCCAGCAAACACCACCCTATTTGTGAGTCTGTGCAGTCTTCTGTCATATATGCCACTTAAATGATAATGAGTAGAAAGCAAATGTTATGAATAGATGACTGGTGAATTGTCCACTAATGTCATAAATGGATTTTATATCTAGATTAGGCACAAATCCATAGTGCTGGAAGGGGATTTTAGAATGTTGAATCCAGCTCAATGGCTTACTGAAGAGATGTTTGACTAGCCATCTTTGAATATCTAGTAAAAGGCAGGCTGTAACTGCTCTGGAATATTGATTCCACTACTGAACTGCTTCACTGCTGAATTCCCCCCCCCCCTTCAATTTTTGATCTCCTTTTCTATAACACAAACCTATGTCCTACATTCTGTAGGAGACAGCTTTGACTTTTTCATTGTGACTTCCTTTCACAGTGAAGAGCTGTGATGGTGCAGTTGTTAGAAGGCTAATTCTGCTGACTGCCAGCAATTCGATTCTGACTGGCTCATGGTTGACTCAGCCTTCCATCCTTCTGAGGTTGGTAAAATGAAGACCCAGATTGTTGGAAGCAATATGCTGACTCTGTAAACCGCTTAGGGAGTGCTGCAAAGCACTATGAAGCAGTGTATAAGTCTAAGTGCTATTGCTATTCTTTCAGATTGAATACTGTTGTGAATTATTTGTGAGTTTATTTATTTATACATACAGGCATACAGAGTTTACAAGGACAAAATACTCACATAATCCTGAAATCAAAATAGCAGCAAGGATTTGTTTAAGGCTAGCCCAAAGGCAAACATTAGAAATTCATTAAAATATGAATTTGCCCATACCTGTGAACAGCCCGTTATTTTCAGGTGGCTTTATTTTTATCTCTGCCAATGTCTGTCTTCCCTTGATAGTTCAGTACCTATCTCATGGGACGCATGGAAAGATATTTCAAGAATGCTCTGACCTTTGATCCTGATCGATTTAGCAAAGACAAATCAAGGTGACCTCTGTGTTTAAAATTCTTTAATCTGAAGATTTGAAATGTTGCAAAATTATCAGAAACTTTTGTGTAAAAATCTAATTATTTTCAAAGTCAAGCAGAAAATGCCATAAACCTTCTGCAGCGAAAGGAGGGATTTTCAAATAGGTTGCTCTAACTTTTTCCAGTAAACAAGCTTTTCTTGCATAAGTAATAAGAGTTGTTATTTGTTTAATGTAATCACTTGATGCTACCTCCTGGAGCTCGATGAAACCCTGTCCAGTGTAGGAAGCCATGTACAAGTCTTTTAGAATAGTAGGACGATTTGGTGATAATGTGTGTCTTTTACACCAGGTGTTCCACATCTAAGTTGGTGAATGACATTGGGATGTGTGCTTTACTACAGCAGTCCCCAATCTTTGCCACTTGATGGTGGGGTTGGGGGGAGGGAGAGGAGAACTGGGTCACCCAAGTGGTGGGCTGGCATACAGCACACGCAGGGTGCATGTGCATGCATGTGCAGCTCAACTTGCACAACTTGAGCTGTGTGCACATATACATGTGTGTTGGCCTACTGTAAATAGGCTGTGGCCTCGTAGCAGGCCACAGCCCAGGGATTGTGGAGACCCATGCTTTATTAGATATTTAAGAATTATTGATAGAAATTAGTTTTGGGGGCCTGTTCATCTCTTAAAATTACAAGTAAATATCAGTATTGACAACATTCTGACACATACTGTAGTCATTTCCTAAAACTGCTGTTATTTCCTAAGCTGCTGTTAAAAGCGAGGTACTACGTTAAATTAGTTTGTAATCCTAATGACTATGCAGTGCTTTCTTCGAGAAATAAAAAATGTAAATATGATTATCCTCACTTTGCAGAAAGCACAAATAATAGTATTCTTAAAAAATGAAGGGTTGCTCTATAAAACAACATTTCTAAACAGTTGTAGTATCTTAGATGAATAGCACAACCGAAACAATTTTCTGCTTTGTGTGGTTTCTTCTAGACCTTATTTTTCCTATTTCCCATTTTCGCTGGGACCTCGTTCATGTATTGGACAGTTATTTGCTCAGGTGAGTAAGATAATTGCGTTAAGAATGTCTACTCCAATACTAGTATTTGTTCCTTTTAAAAGAGAGGTGGAGAACTTGCGTATGCTCCTGATCCATTCTTTCAGTCTCTAGAGCAGGACTCCCCAACCTATGGACCATGGCCCACTAGTGAGACATGAGGGGTTGCAACCGGGCCATGGAAACAGCTAGCAAGCACGCACATGTGCACACGCATCCTCACTTGTGTGAGCAGCAGACGAGCGAGTGCACGCACACTCCATTTCTTTGAGCGGCATGCACCCTTACTAGCCACTGATGCTAACCAAAAGCCATGGTGGTGTAATGGTTAGAATGCAGTATTGCAGGCTACTTCTGCTGATTGCCAGCTGCCTGCAATTTGGCAGATCAAATCTCACCAGTCTCAAGGTTGACTCAGTCTTCCATCCTTCCAAGGTTGGTGAAATGGGGACCCAGATTGTTGGGGGCAATATGCTGACTCTGTAAACCACTTAGATAGGGCTGTAAAGCACTGTGAAGCTGTATGTAACTCTGTGCTATTGCTATCCCCTCTCCTCCCCTACCAGTCCGCAAAGCCGGAAACATTGAGGAACTCTACTCTAGAGCAGCTAAATCCACAGAAATAGCAGAGAGATTGGAGAAGGGGTTATAAGAGAGTAAGCAGGCACA